TAAAGAAAATGATAAAAAGTAATCTGGAGCATCAAGTTGATTAGTATTGAATTACTCATTAAATTAATAAATAAAGTGGCGAATAGAAGATACGCAGCACGAAGAAACGACAAAATTGAAGACGGAATTTATAGTTGACAAGCGTAATAAATTAAAATGTAAATGAGAACTGATTACCAAAGGTGGTGAGAAACTTTGAATGCAAAAGTTATTAGAACTCGTTGATATTAAATCGCATTGCGTATTATTGAAACACCAATTAATTATTCCGAAAAACGAAACTTACGATTACAACACTTTTATTTCTCAGAAGAACGTGTTCGAACTTTTCGCTCGAAAAGCAAAGCGTGCTCCAAACTTTCAAACACGAGCGTATACGTTGCTTCTCGGTATTCGTAAAATAATACTCCGCTCTTGCTACGCAATACAGTACAGATTTTCGAGTTATAAGAAGATTACCCTTACCAAAGCTGTAAACGTGCGTTTCTTGTGGCGTGTGTACGTACTTCGGCCCAAAAACTTCAGGTTACCAAACCTTAAGGAACATTCGCACATATTTTACAACGCTTTAAAGATCGCGTTTCTTTCCCGCGTTTCGCGTCCATGGGTTTCATTCTCGTCTTCATCGAGGGTTCGACGTTACGTTGGAAGATATTTTGAAAAAAGCGGGTGTCTCTCGCGAGCATAGTCATTTCGCACTTTATGCTCGCACGGCACGCTCTCCTTCGCGGATACCTGTTTATTATTGCTGTTTCGCGGATGTAGCTTCTGAGAATCGCAATACTGTACGCACTTTTGGCTGCATGGCGCGTTGATTTTCCGCGAATGCGTGTAATGAATCTGATTTGTCTTATTGCCGGTTTGTCGAACGCCTTCGGCTCACGCAGATTCTGCCGAATACCTCAATCTGAGGCAATTCCAACCCGAAATTCGTGTAGCTTTTGCTAATTCGCGCTTCCAGTTATTATACCTTATGGAACTATGTATTACAAGTGGAGACTTTTAACCATAATTGTTTTTTTCCTCTACGATATTGACAATCGAGATAGAAAGAAATTTTCAATTTTATGCGAGATTTTTAGTTTCGTTGATACAGTTAAGGAGACGGTTAAGTGGACACTTCGCTTACTAAGTACTTTACTTTACGTTATGCGTATTATGTATGTACATTTTTACGTTAAATTGTATGTTAAAGTTTGACAAAGTTCGGTTTCCATTGTAGTATTAGAACTGAATGATACGATCGACTTAATAGTTTAAACGAAGTAATCAAGTTCAAACGAATGTTGAAAAGTTCAAGTCTTTCTCTCTAAAGAATAATTGGTTCTGTTTGTGTAGTTGATAATTGTATATTAAAGTTGAGATTGAAGGATAAAGTAGGGTTTCCACAACAGCGTATGATAATTACCTAAAATTTGTTATATTCGAGGACATTTGAAGTTTGTCATTTTCCGAGGAAAAAATATTACAACCGAAGGGAACGTCGTCCGATAATTTGCTCAATAATAAAACGACCGAGGGAGGAGAGAATTATAAATCGTCGAATAATCACATAAGAGTTTCAAGAAACTTTGATAACAATTAATTTCATTGGAAGACTACAGGTAAAGACTAGGAAGATTTTACAGGGAAGCAGTTTTAGGATTCAGTACGTTATCGATCAATCTCATATCACCAAACATTGTCTTTGTGTATTTTCCTTTCCGCTTCAAAATTTGCAGAGTATCGCACGTCATAACAACGCTCCCGTGTAACTTCGTCGATTTCCCAGCTATTTTTAAAAGACTCGCGTCACTTATGTCGTATCCAAACTCTCCCGTTCAATCACAAAGCGACGTTAAAAATCAGGACATCGACAAAGATATACTCATCGCTTTTTTCTCCCGCGATATTCTTTTAAAATATTGTCCGAAATCTCTCAATTTACAAGAACATCGTCGTAAACGCACCGATGCTTCCGATCATAAAAAGTTCCACATAATTCAAAGCTAGGATCACTTGGCGAAAGCATTATCGATATGGCTGACATTTTTCCGCTATTAGTTAACCCCGGTCAGAGAATATCTAAGGTCTCGACTATTTATCTGGCCGTACTTCATTGACCCACTTCTAAAATGGCCCGTAAAAGAAAACAATCTTTCTCGAAGCGGACAAAGGGTAACAGAATAGTGGCACCAGCCGCAAAACCAGAAAACGTTCAAGCAGACGTCGCGGTAATCTCCCCGTGGAGAAGCGACAATCAGCAGGGGACCGTAAAGAACGGCGAAAGCCCATTAATCCTCGCCAGAAGAAATGATTTAGGATCGGTTCGTGTACCATCAGCCTCGCGTCTCAGGCCATCAGCGTAACGGCTACCAGACGAACGCGCGTTTCCCAAGGTTGCAGCCTGGCCGTGTGACAATCATCGTCTCGAACTAGGTCCCTCGAAAACAATTCGCGTCTCAATCGTTGTTGTGTCGTGAATCGTCGGCGTAATGACAGATGGCCGGATGATTGTATGTATCGTTCACAGGCGTTCAACTGATTGAATATACAGGGATTGGAAAGAGGAAGCGAGCATAGAATTCCATTCGAAAATTCTTTCGTTACAAATGGATAAAAACGAAGTAGAGTATTGTTATCGGTATCGTGGAGAATTAATTTTCAAATTAGAATTTTAGGCGATATAGATGAAAAGTTTTAAATATTTTTTATTTGTAGCGCACACGACAATCTCGTATAACTCAACGCGAGAAAAAGAAATATAGCTGCGAAGAGGTTTATTGTACGTAGTTACGGAACTTACGTCGTTTCGTTAACGTCTACGAAAATAAGGCGATCTCCCGTTGCTCGAAAGAATCTATTAATTTAAAAAGAAAACGAGCTTATGAATCCTATCATCATCGAAAACTCTTTCGTTAAAAATCTATCGAAATAAACAACGTCGCTATTCACATCTGAATAGCGGAATTATTTTTCCATTAACGACAAAGTCAATCGGTTATTTAATATAGGCAGATGATTCCAAATAATTTCTCGGTTCTATACGTAACAACCCTTACAACCTATCTGAAAAAAATAGAAACATAGGTTGCAAAAGGGTTGATACAGGTTTCTCTATCGACGGCGTTGGCGAGGACAAGGGGATTCCCCATTGCGCGAAATGGAGTCCTTGAACCCGCGAGAGCGGCAGGCGAGGAAACGACGTAAGTGGACAGAAATGTATAGCGCAACGTGGTTCGCGGCGCGTCAAGAGGGAATCTGTCCCCACCCGTGGAGGAGAAGGTGGACAAGGAAGCGGTGGTGGCGAACGTTTGGTCGCGAAAGAGGAGGAGGACGGAGGTGGAGAAGGAGAAGGAGTCACATCGTGGGCAACTCTCTGCGTACCGAGAGTCGAAGCTCTGTCTCGCGTACGCGAGAACCAATCCCAGTATTTGCGCTTCCTTCCTACCGTGGATGGCGACCACCTCTTTTCAGGGGCGTAGCCGTCGCGATCCCCCTCTCCCCGTGCGCGGCATGGATTTTTCGCGCGCTCCAAATTCCGCCCCGAGCATCAACGGGCCGATCCTCTTCATCGGGGATCGAACGAGGCCCGTCGAGTCTATCGATGTCGCGTCCGAGGTCGTTCAACTTTCCCATGTTTGCCCGTCACTGACTCGGACAGATTCCGAGGGCGGATTTCGGTCATTCGTGTTAATTTTTCATCGACGAATGCGTTCAGAGGCTTGTGACTTTGGTTAGATCAAGGAGATTACGGTGTACAGTAGAATAGGGTGTTCATTGGCTCGACGATATACGCGATTTGCCGTTTGTACAGCGGTGCGCGATCGGATAAATAGATTCAGACAGCAGAAGTTCATTTAGTCAGCCGTTAACTAGAATCGATTTTCTGTACTATTTATGATCTCCGTCGTTTCTCGCGTATTAGTCTGCGTTCAAATAAGTAGATTCGGCCAGTAGGACGTCGTTTAGTCTGACGCTAACCAATTGCGAGAGTGACTCTCCCCACTACCTACGATCTTTCGTTTATACGATAGTTTACTTTCGGATAAGTAGATTCAGGCGGCAAGAATTTACTTAGTCGGACGCTACGTAACGTTCTGTCTTGTTCGTGAATTGAGTTAGGCAGCTTCCATGACGCAGTAGAATAAGATTTTACTGATATTTCTACTGTTTATGATCGTTGCTCGTATAATACTGTACGCTCGGTTAAGTAGATTCAGACGGCGGGAGTGCGTCTAGTCTGACGTTAAGTAGATAAAACGAAGTTCGTATAAACGAAGTTCTATTGTGGTTGAACGTTTAAGTGTTATTGGAGCTGTTAGCGATTGCTGCACTGCTAATAGAACAGAAGTAGACGAGTTTATTGATCAGTAAGAGATTGTCAAGTTTGTTAATTAAAGGGTCGTTTAATAAATCATTTAAAACACCATGAATTCTCATGAAGAACTGTATATGTAAAGCATGTAAGAACATCTTCTGAATTATCTTCCACGTAGAATATAATAACACGAAACAGGAATGTTTCCTCCATATCTAGAGATCAGTTATATTATTCGATAAATCAGAGATCGAATTCGGAACACTACGATATACTATTAATCGATGCACACAGAACATCTCGTACATTCTTCAGAAATCTCCATATTACTCCTTAACTTTGCTCTTCGCATAATACCTAAACACACCTACCAAAGCTGATACCAATTAGAACACTACGTACCGTCACAGAAGATGAACCACGATGAAGTACGTCACGTTCTTATCCGCGCATGAATACTTCGATCTTTATCCACAATTCTCAATCTCCAAACGCGTTTACCAACCTCCGTATGAACGCGATTCCGCAATTTCCCGAAAACTGAAGCGGATCGAGTAATCGTGCGGTTAAAACACGGCGAATTGTCGCGGTGGAGCACGAGTCAGAGGAGAGAGGATGCGGGCAAGGAGGAAGGGAGCAGATAGACGGATGGACAAAGCTGTAGAGGAGCCCTGGAGTATTCAGTCGGTGACGCGGGCAGATTTACGGGCGGCTCGCCACGCAGACGAGCGTCTCTTTGCGGATTCTTGGGCTTCCACCGATATTATTAGCGATCGCGTCCTCTTTTTGATCCTGGCAGAAGGACGGGGGAAGGCTCCTTCCCTTGCGGCCGTCGAGAGAGTGCTGGACACGGCGGGTGGTTTTTTTCGTGGCCGCGTATAATGCGCTCGATAGAAGTTGCTTGCTCGAAATCCTTCGAACCCTTTTTCCCTTGTTAGGGCCAGCTCCAGGTCCAGGCTCGAACGAGTACGCATCGAAGGGACCGCGAATTTATTTCTTCTGGCGTAGGCATTCGCCGCGTTTCCCATCCACCGAACAGACGCTACGACGACAACGACGATGACGTGCGGTTTAATGATATGCAGCATTCAGAATGATCGTCGTACCATGCCATGGTTTGTATATCTGGTTTCTGCCTTCAAAATTTCGAATTTAAGGCTTCTATATTATATGGCGAAGTTGAGGATTTTCTCGAGTGTTTTCGTTGCTGTATGAAGGTAGTTGTCGTTACATTTATGAAGTGGTTGTTATACCGTATTGTAATTATTACTATATTGTATAAACTCGATATGGGTCGTGATAACAAATATCGTTTGATCATTTGATCGTTAAACATCGATCGAGTCTTGGGTTATTTTTGTATTTTCATAAGAACTAAAGTAACACGAAAAATATATAAAAATGTCGGTCGATGTATTTGTCCACTTAAATTATCTAATTTAATCGCTCAAATATTTCACTTCTTACTCCAAATCTTCGAATTTCATTCGAATTTCTTGGTGGTACAATACTCGAGTATTCTGATAATCTTGATGAAGGATTTACATATGGAAGACTTATAAATGAGAGCTGCGTGGAACGGAATCGTCTCTTCCTGTTCGACTGCCATTTATCATTCGCGAGACTGGTAGTGCAAGAAACGCATAATTACAGATAATTCCCTTGGTACTTGCTATGCGCCGGGATAATTGCGGCCGGGTATTGTGTGCCATTGTTCCGCCGACCGGCTATCCCTTTGATTATGGCAATTCAGGGCATCCAGATAGTCAGGCGATATTTAATTTCGTGAAAAATTCTGGCTGATTTTGATTTGACGTTGGGAATCGAGAGACGTGTATTTTTTGACGCTTCGGGTGAGAATATGTATATTAATGGGGGAAGTCGAGAGACGTGTTAATGGAATAATTGTATATTGAAAGTTAGGTGTTAAAATTGCTGTAATCATTGAATTATAAGAAAGATACTCAGTTGTCGAAAGTTTATACGATATATTATAATATTGTTTTATTTTGTTCAATAAATTTTCTTATCACTTTCGCTTTTGATCTTACGTTTCGAACCAGGATTGCAGATTCTCTTTTCGATGTGTTTGCAACATTTTTCATTATTTTAATACCGTAAGATTAATTGCAGAAACATGTTGCATTGCTTATTCGTGCTTGGTTTCAACGCTACAGTCTGGAAGTCGAAAGAAAGATCGATTCACTGGCATTCCCGTTCCTTATAAGCATTCATAGCAATAAGGAACATTTAGAAGTTTTCATATATTCGTATTCTTCATATTATATTACTGTAGCAAACTTTAGTTTTACTCAATCAGAATCACCCATCTTCGATATCTAAGTTCAAGTATAACTGGCGTCTACGGTCTTCAACCTCGTGATTGATTGTCTCTGGTATTTTTATATAAAATTGACTAACTCTGGTTACGAATAACATAGAATCGTATAGAACTCATTCCTTCCTTCATTTCACGTAAATAACTAATAAGAGAAGAATATTATATTCAAATTTCCTTTTTCCCTCCCGTTTCTATCGTAACGGAAGATTAAAAAACGATGGATCTATACTACCGAATGCCTCACGCCTCGCAGAACGTCGAAATAAGTATACCTCTCTCTATCCTAATTTTAATTCTATCCAACCTTTAAATCTAATCTCAAATTAAATTCAACTAACGTGTCTGCGTTTCTTTTCGCCGATTCGATCGTATTTTTAATGCTTTTGTTCCGACGTTTAAATTCGTACAAGCACAGATATGTCGTCTAATAATGAAACTTTAAAGTCGTAAAATCACAGATTTTACACGCTCCGGGTCGACTCCTTGTTAAGTGCAAATAAATTCTCAACGATGAACTCGCAACTCAGCATTGGATCTCGCATCTTTCTCGCGTCGATTCCATTTTCGAATTCACACGGTGATTCTCGCGATTCTCGCGTGCCCCGCGGAATCTTATTGGCTATTCAGGCCGCGATGCCTTAACTGCCCGGGATTCGATGCATAGGAGCCATAAAGCATGGAATACAGAGGCCATGGTGGGCACAGATCCCGCGAGTTACCATGTCCCTTACGGTAGGCATTACCGAGATTACAGACGCGGACTGGACCTCTGTTCGATGGTAACGAGTGAGAGAAAGACGAAAATACGCCATACCGATGAATCGAGAGAGACGATCCACCGCGTAATAACCCTTACCTCTTTCGATCCCTTTACCCACGTAGCCGATGAGATGGCCCTTTAGGTCTCTAAACGGCCCGACAACACGGGACCTTCTTGCTCCTCTCTTTCTGGGTTCTATTAAAATCCGTGCGAGATAATCGTTCGCCTTGATAATGCGCCGCAAACCCGTGAACCCTGCAGCGATCGTCAATTTATCTTCGCGAAAATACGATCGTTTCGTCAGTTTCCTTCTTTGTACGTGAAACGTTAAACACCGAATTTGCGCAAATATTTCATTTTCTTCCTTCGATCGATTTGCGTCATTCTCTTCGTTGACGGAAAAGAGCTTCAAAGATTCGTCTAATACAATTTTCGTCGCTGTTTCCTTTGCGTGGATTGCTAAGATATTATGAAATTGACAAAAATAGAAGAACGTTTGTAACATTACGATCGAAACACTAAATATATGTTATAATAAAGACGCGTATTATTACAACTTACAAATATGTAGATTCAACTGCTGCTTTCCTTTTTCTCGACTATATGAAACGTAAACTCATTATGTTTATCCCGTATGGTTTTTATATAATTTACGAACGACAAAGTTACTATAATTAACGATACGGAGACGAGATCCGCAATAAACGCTAGTCCTATCGCTAGATCTGACCAAGACTTTTCCATGAGTTATAAAATAACTTATCAACATCCATTTGTAGCTAAACCACGATTTTAAGATCGTAGTCGAAGTTACAACCACGTGTGACCAGTAGGTACAGGAGTTACGAGTTAAAAACGATATACCATCGAGGAAAACTCGGTTATCCAGGTTTGGTGGCGTCCGATTGGCGTAATATATGCGAGCTAATTATTTTGATCGCGAGTCTTTATGCCCACGCTGATTGCAGGATTAACGTTGATCTCGAGAAAGATTCGCTGGGCGTGGGGAATTGGAGTCGGCTCGACGTTTCTGCAAATTGCTCTTTGAACGCTCCAGTTACACGCTCCGAGGCTTTAAGTACGGCTACGAGAAACTGCCAACGCGGAATTCCCTGCAAATTCTAATTGACTTTCTAATGGAAAATTATTTAATGCCACTTGATTTTGATCTTACGAGGAATCACGATGTAAAAACGAGAAATTCGTTCCACTCAATGTGGTAATTGAAATGTAGGAGTCCTGAGAGATTGTAAATGATAGCGTTTAAAGTGTTCGCGCAAGGATATTCTCAGCAGAAAGGATGGCTCTTTTTATACGTGCAGATTTTCCGTAGCATTCTTTCCTTCTTTTACTTCGAACGCGATCTTTGGATTCCGTCAACGGCGTGCGACACCAATTGCTTACACTACTTTCATAGAAAGGAGTAATAAGACCTATCAACAGTGTCTGACAATAACAACTTTCTCCACTTTCTTGGAAAAGAAAGAAGTCTACGTAATGCAGAATGAGAGATTGGGATTAGAATTTGAGGAATTTCAGTACAAACAGCATAATCTTTAACAAATACGGAATCGGAAATTCCAAGCTTTCGTAAAAGCGTCACTGCTCGACACTTTTCTAAATAATTGCAACTTACTACAACTAAATTCGCTTCGACGTCTTTTATAATAACGAAGTATCAGTTTAATTCCATTCGCAAGCATTGTGTCATTTGTACGTTCCAAAAGTTAAATATCGCGTATTATGAAAATATAAAAATTGCGAAAAATAATCTAAGATAATAAGTAACGAAAATGTTCAAGTAAAACTATCCAAGTTTAATATAAAAAGAAACCAACACCTTAAACCTTATACTCCGTATATAATATTTCGAGCTGAGAGAATTTTAGCAATCGATAACAAGGAAAAATTCGGATAGAAAATTCCAGCAGCTTGCGGCCTCGTAATAGAAGCCAAATTGTTCCAGCGGATACGTAGTGATTCGTACGAATTTGATCGAAAGATATCCCGCGTTGGAAAAGGAATAACTCAGCATAAAAAGAGGAGGAGACGGCAGACTGGAAAGATACTTCGGAAATAACTAGAAAGGATTGCCGGAGAGGGTTTCCTCGTTTCTTCCTAACAAGCTCCGCGCAAGCTTCCACCCGTTAGTCATACATTTATATAAGGGATGTATCTTCTTATTCCACGGCCAGGATACAGGAGATACGTATCTCCTGGTTATTAATGTATGTCTGCAACCCCCGGTTTCAACCCCTCTCCCTCCTGCCCGTTCTCGAGCCGACTTCGAAACCGAAGGAGCTTCGAATGCCAAGAAAATCCGAAACTACGCGAGAAGGAAACCGCCCCAACAATGGTTCTCATGTTCGTCTTTCCACTCCTGATCCAGCAATTTTATTTATTGTATTCGCTGTTTACGATGGTTGCATATAAAAATTTTCTAGTTAAAGAACATTTAAGTAAGTTGGAGAATTTTACTGTGTAAGTTGAAGGATGTGGAATAGACAAAGAATTATTTATCGAAATTGGAGGATACAAAATAGATTAGAAAATATTTTGAATAGTTTGGTATCTTTTTTTTTTTTTAATATATCGCAAAGTATTAATGGGTAATACAGCTCCGCCATTCTGTTATATTGTTCTCATCAAAGGCGAACCTTGATACGCAATTGCTATGTTTTGTTCGATATGCTGGTGTATTTATATATAAATGATTGATTACCTGAGAGATCGCTTCAGCATTTTACAAATCCGGTCGTTGAAATTTCAGAAGTCGTGGGCCGTAAAAAGTCGGAAATTGAATAGCAGTTTTAGACGATAAATCATGGGAATATATCTACGCAAAAACCTAATTCCAACTGTAAACTAAAATGAAATTGCTATAAAATTCAAATGGCCAACAGCGTGTTATTAAACAAATAACAATAAAACCAATAATAAGTATATTAAAATTGAAAAGTTACCTTCGAAAAACGTAGAAATAAATTGTCCTTAGCCCGGAGAATATTATAATT